CTGAGTTTTTTTTAATTTAACAATATGTTGAAGCCTTAATACCTAATTTGATGGTATTTGGAGAAAGGGCCTTTGGGAAGTAATCAGGTCATGAAAGTAGATCTTTAATGAATAGAATTAGTGCCCTTAAAAAAGACACATGAGAATGATCTTTCTCTGTATACCATGTGAAAATACAGCAAGAACACATCCATCTATATACCAGGAAGAGGGGGCACCTGGGTGGCTCAGTAGGTTGAGCATCAGACTCAGATTCCCAGGGTCATGGAATCAAGCCCCCATCAGGGTCCTCGCTGAGTATGGAGCCTGCTTGGGATTCTCTCTCTCTCTCTCTCTCTCTCTCTCCATCTGCCCCTCTTCCCTGCTCACACTCTCTCTCTCCATCTCTAAAATTAAAAAAATAAACTTAAGTAAATTAAAAAATATATTTTTTTAAGATGACTCCTTTAAAAAAAAAATAGGAAGAGGGCCCTCAGTCGGCTGTGTCAGACTCTTGGCTCCATGCTCACAGTGTGGAGCCTGCTTGAAATCCTCTCTCTCCCTCTATCTCTGCCCTTCCCTTACTAATGCTCACATGCTCTTTCTCAAAAAATAATAAACTTAAAAAAAATGATGTGAAGAAATTAGAAAGAACCCTTCTATTTAGCCTGTGGGATAAAATGGTATAGCCTCTCTAGAAAACAGTTTGGTGGTTCCTCAAAAAGTAAACATAGAATTATCAATGACCCACCAATTCTACTTCTAGGTATATACCCCAAAGATTTGAAAATAGACTCAAGCAGATACTTGTATGCTAAATATGCATAACGGCATTTTTCATGATAGTCAAAAAGTGGAAACAACCAACAAGTCCATAAACTGATAAATGGATAAACAAAATGTGGTATATGCATACAATGGAATAATATGCAGCCATAAAAAGGAATGAGTTATGATATACAATATGGACTATGCTGTAAACATTATGCTAAGTGAAATAAGTCAGACACAAAAGGACAAATATTGAAGGATTCCACTTATATGAAATATCTAGAATAAGGAAATTCATACCGAAAGTAGAATGGTGATTTCTAGAGGCTGGGGAAGAAGGGATTGGTGAGTCATTGGTTAACGAGTACAGAGTTTCTATTTGGGGTGATAGAACACTTCTGGAAATACATAGTGGTGACAACTGTACGACACTGTGAAGGTAATTAATGCAACTCAATTGTAAACTTGAAAGAATGGTTAAAATGGCAAAATTTGTTATATTTATTTTACCACAATTAAAAAAAGAAAACAACATTCTGGTTGTCCAGGACTAAGAGGGCTTGGGGAAGAATGATGACTGACTGCTAACTGGTACTGACCTTCTTTTGAGGTGAAGATAATGCCCTAAAATTGATTATGGTGATGGTCACACAACTCCATGAATACACTAAAAGCCATTGCATTTTATTTATACTTTAAATGTTGCAACATATGGCATGTGAATTATGTCTCAATAAAGCTGTTATTTAAAACACAAACAAACACCTAAACGGTGCCTAGACAGCACATACAGGTTCTAAACTTATTTAGGGAGTCAGGGAAGAATTCATCAAGAAGTTAACTTTAGGGGGTGCCTGGGTGGCTCAGTTGGTTAAGCGTCTGACTCTTGGTTTAGGCTCAGATCATGATCTCAGGGTTTGTGAGTTTGAGCCCCACATATAGCCTCCTTGGGATTCTCTCTCTCTGTCTCTGACTCTCTCTCTTCCCCTCTTTGCCCCTCCCATGCTCTCTCTCTCAAAATAAATAAATAAACTTAAAAAAAAAAAAAAAAAAGAAGAAGTTAACTTTGAGTTGAAAGTAGAAGGATGCACTGGAATACAATAGGGCAAGAAAGAAGGTGTGAGGACAGAGTTCCAGAAGGCATTCCTGACACAAGAGGAAAAGCAGGGTAAATAACCTAGAGTAAGAGTATGACATGGTGTAAGAACTCAAAGAAAGCCACAATGTGCTGGAATCCAGAGAGCAAGAAGAGTAACCTGAAATGAGGAACCGACTACGTACAAAACCTGAACCTTCTACAATGCTGAGACCAGAGTTCAAGAGATGGGCCACACAGGGTCTTTTAAGCCATCTTCAAGATTAAGTCTTAATCCGGGGTTGCCTGGGTGGCTTAGTCGGTTAAGCGTCCGACTTTCGTTTAGGTCATGATCTCGCGATTCGTGGGTTCGAGCCCCGCGTCGGGCTCTGTGCTGACTGCCAGCTCAGAGCCTGGAGCCTGTTTCAGTTTGTGACTCCCTCTCTCACTGACCCTCCCCTGCTCACGCTGTTTCTCTCTCTCTCTCCTAGAAATAAATAAAACATTAAAAAAAATTAAAAAAAAAAAAAAAAGATTAAGTCTTAATCCAAATAGCAATGTGAAGCCCATAAAAGGTTTTATGCTGGTATGTTTTGAAAAGATCACCTCATCTGCGTTACGGAAAACTGACAGGAGGGAAGCTAATCAATATAGGAAGCCTATTTAAAATGCTCTTTCAATAGGTCAGAGATAATGGTGTCCTTTCTAGAATTATCTAGGTTTGATGACAGCATATTTAAGTCACTGGGGGGAAGATAAATTATTCCATAAATGATATAAGGCACAGCTGGTTCCCTATCCTCATTCCTAACATAAAACAAATTCTATATGTGTTAGTGATTTAACTTTTTAAAATAAGGCCACACATAGAAACAATCAACTAGAGCAACTAAAGCAATGAATCAGAATAGAATGCTCACATTGGGATGCCTGGGTGGCTCAACTGGTTAAGCATCCAACTTTGGCTCAAGTCATGAGCTCACGGTTCTTGGGTTTGAGCACTGCATCAGGCTCTGTGCTGAACCTGCATCAGGCTTCAGATTCTGTCTCCTTCTCTCTTTGTCCCTCCCCCGCTTGCACAAGAATGCAGTCTCTCTCACTCCCTCTCTCTCAAAAATAAATAACCATTAAAAAAAATAAAAAGAATAGAATGCACACAAACTGACCCATGATTTCTAAGGGGAAATTTAGAATATGATAAAGGGACCACTTTCAACAATCAATAATTAATAGATGGTAAGATAACTGCTTTTTAAATTTTAGTATGATGCACACAAAAAGAGTGAAAACTATACATCCAACTTAATAATTATTGTGATTAGCTCTAGGGAAAAGAATATAATTTTAAGGGCAGGCTTTCATTCTTGTCAATTTTTAAACATTTCTTACAATGTGTACTCATATATTAAGACTTCCAAAATACAGAAAAAGTTTAACTTTTAAAAGTCACAAATGTATAACTACAAGAAGTAGGATATATGCACAAGAACATAAATCCGAGAACCTATAAAGGAATAATACTTTTGTGACAGCCAAAAATTATAAAAATTTCTATCAACCAGAAATATACTGTAAAATAAAAAGACAAAGAACTTGGAAAAACACTTCCAACACATATTAGGTTAATTTCCTTAATTTACAGAAAACTCTGAAAAATCAACACAGAAATGGCAACCTAACAAGAAACGAGCAAAGGTCACATTCACAGGAAAACACAGAGCCAATGAACAAAAAACAAAATAGGTACAAATCAAAGTATCACTTTCATCTATTACAAAATTGGTAAAAATTTATCTTGTTAACTTGGTTATCCATATCCAAGTAAGCACGCAACGTTGTTGTATAAGGATGTTCACTGTTTATAAGAGCAAAAAATTGATAAAGCAAAGTGTGTTATCTTTCATCCCTGTGATTTTGATTAAATAAATGATAGTATGAGTACACGAAATCCTACACAGCTGTTGGAAAGAACAAGGCAGATTTCTTTGTAATGATCTGGGGAAATACACAAGATAGACTGAGGTGAAATCAAGTTGCAAAACAGTCAAGGCAATCCTACTTCCATCTAGTATCTTCTTAGATCTGTTTGCCTGGGCTAAGGGGGAGTTGGGGGTTGAAAGGCGAAGAAGAGTTGCCATCCACCTACACTGGGAAGCCTAACTCTCCAGAAGGTAGGAAATACCAAATACAAACTCTGATTACTTCACAGTTTGGTCTTAGCCAAACTTTTAAAAAAAATAATTAGCCTCAAACTCGACTGCCATGGAGGATTCGTGGGCGTCTGATAAGGTAACTTTGATGAAATCATGACCAGGTGGGCACGAATTATTCCCACACATAAAAAGAGACCTTTGGCTGCAACATCATGGGAGGACATGAAGAAGGGGTCCCCTTGAGGGAGAAGACCAATACCTACCAAAGAGTAAACAACTTGAAGCCCATAGGCTGTTAAAAATGATACACCCCAAGCAAAACACAAAAAGAACAAAAAGAAAAAGGAGTATTTAAGTGAAGATGTAAATGGATTCCTGGAATACCTAAGGCAAAACCCACAGATGGTTCATAATGGGGAGGGGATAGCAAAAGTCAGGAGGTAAGGGAAGAAATTGCAGTTGCTTTAAAGAAAGATAGTGGCTAGGAAGGAAGAAGACTAAAAAGACAAGCAGCAAAGAAAAGTGCAATGGTATGTTTCCTTTGTAGAAAACCTGGGCACGGGATTGCACATCGTACAGCTGCCATTGAGAATCAAGATATGGGCACTGGAGTATGTTACTAGTGTGGATCCACAGAGCATGAAACAAACAAGTGCAAAACGAAAGTAGATCCAGCTCTTGGTGAATTTTCTTTCGCAAAATGTTTTGTTTGTGGGGAAATGGGACATCTGTCCAGATCTTGTCCTGATAATCCCAAAGGACTTTATGTGGATGGTGGTTGCTGCAGACTTTGTGACTGTATGGAATATTTTAAGAAAGACTGCCCTGACAGCCAGAATTCATATCAAACAGTCACAGTTGGTTGCTGGGCAAAGGTAATGAGTGCAGACTATGAAGAAATTTTGGATGTGCTCGAACCATAGAAACCCAAAACAAAGATACCTAAAGTTGCTAATTTTTCATAATGATTAGTATTATCATTCGTTACCACCTCATTGTTAGCCATTCTGAACTGGGCCTACCTCACAAATTGGAGCTGGGCTCCCTTGGAGACCTGTGTTGTAGATACCAGGATGATGTGCGTATGGTCAAATAGTTTCCTGAGTGCTGTCCATTAAAGACTGCCTCTATTACTGGAGAAAATCATTGAAGAAAAGTGTAAGATTTTTAAACTAGATTCTCTAAAAGAATATTTTTAACAGATAGAACTTAGACATAACTAAGTGGTTATATACTTGATTATAGCAATCATCTTTTTCTTAAAAACTATGCATTAATATGAACCACCCTTAAACAAAGTATAACTGCTTTGCATTTGGAAATGAAGTTTTGGTTATATTGTTTTCTTGGTTCAAAAGATCAATTTATTATTATATTAGGAATTTATAAGTTGGCACAAAATCTGTATTTTTTAAATATTTAATAAAAACTCATTTGCTATTTACTTAAAAAAAATGATTAGCCTTCATGTCAGAGAACTGACTATACATATCTAACAGAAAACCTGAGTGTAAATATACCCTACCCTTATAGGCAGATAAAACTCACCCTTGAAAGCCTGTTTCTCACCTCTCTTTTCAAATTGTCCAGAGGGACAAAGGGCTCAGATTGTACTGGTGTAGACAAAAACAAATGTCCACTTAAAACTGGTCCTTCCCTTCTTCCTATCTGTGCCTCCCCAGGTTAATCAAATGCCATTTGAAATTAAAAGATATTAGTAAGTTTTTTTAATGAAATTCAAATACTAAAATGCTTACTACCTACCCAGTTCTATAGCCTCTGAACACCGAAATGCTAACAAATTGTCTTTTATAAAGGGAGACCTGTTTCTATCATCACCCATAAAAATTGTAAAACACAGCTAGTTATAAGTCTCCTTTTTATCCATTTGAGTAACAAAATTAGATTCCACCAATATCACCATCACCCCCACCTCCAAAAAGCCCACAGCTTCTTGAGGGCAGGAACCTATTTCAGTCATTGCTCTGTCTCCAAACACCTCCTTTGCTGCTTAAGCCACAGCAATGAATAAATATTTGCTGAATTTCTAAAGTTTATTTTCTCTGTATCTATATATGCCAGGAGCATGTAAATCAACTAGAATTTTAAAGTGTATGTCAGTATTCAAAGTGGAAAGAATATCCATCCAATGGAAAAAAGACAGCCTCTTTAACAGATGGCGCTGGGAGAACTGGACAGCAACATGCAGAAGAATGAAATAGATCATTTTCTCACACCATACACAAAAATAAACTCAAAATGGATAAAGGACCTGAATGTGAGACAGGAAATCATCAAAACCCTAGAGGAGAAAGCAGGAAACAACCTCCTTGCCCTCAACCGCAGCAATTTCTTGCTTGACACGTCCCCAAAGGCAAGGGAATCAAGAGCAAAAATGTACTGGGACTTCATCGAGATAAAAAGCTTCTGCATGGCAAAGGAAACAATCCATAAAACTAATAGGCAACGGACAGAATGAGAAAAGATAGTTACAAATGACATATCAGATAAAGGGCTAGTATCCAAAATCTATAAGGAACTCACCAACTCCACACCCGAAAAACATTAAATCCAGTAAAGAAATAGGCAGAAGACATGAACAGACACTTCTCCAAAGAGGACATGCAGATGGCCAACAGACACATGAAACGATGCTCAGTGTCCCTCATCATTAGGGAAATGAAAATCAAAACCACACTGAGATACCACCTCACGCCAGTCAGAGTGGCTAAAATGAACAAATCAGGAGACTATAAATGCTGGCGAGGATGTAGAGAAATGGGTACTCTCCTACACTGTTGGTGGGAAGGTAAACTGGTGCTGCCCCTCTGGAAAACAGTGTGGAGGTTCCTCCAAAAATTAACAATAGATCTCCCCTATAACCCAGCAATTGCACTGCTAGGAATTTACCCAAGGGATACAGGAGTGCTGATGCATCAGAGCACATGTACCCCAATGTTCATAGCAGCACTCTCAACAATAGCCAAAATATGGAAAGAGCCTAAGTGTCCATGAACTGACAAATGGATCAAGATGTGATTCATCTATGGGGCGCCTGGGTGGCTTAGTCGGTTAAGCGTCCGACTTTCGCTCAGGTCATGATCTCGCGGTTCGTGGGTTCGAGCCCCGCGTCGGGCTCTGTGCTGACTGCCAGCTCAGAGCCTGGAGCCTGTTTCAGTCTGTGACTCCCTCTCTCTCTGACCCTGCCCTGCTCACGCTGTCTCTCTCTCTCTCTCCTAGAAATAAATAAAACATTTAAAAAAAACAAGATATGATTCATCTATACAATGGAATACTACATGGCAATGAAAAAGAATGAAATCTGGCCATGTGTAGCAACATGGATGGAACTTGAAGGTGTTATGCTGAGCGAAATAAGTCAGGCAGAGAAGGACAGATACCGTATGTTTGCACTATAGGCGGATTAGGATGAACTTAACGGAGGACCATGGGGGAGGAGAAGGGGAAAAATAACTGGGGAGAGGGAGGGAGATTCTTGAATGCTGAGAACTGAGGACTGATGGGGGTGGGGGAGAGGGGAAAGGGGGTGATGGGCATGGAGGAGGGCACTTGTTGGGATGAGCACTGGGTGTTATATGGAAACCAACTTAACAATAAACTATTTAAGAAAAAACAAAGTATATGTCAGTATTAACTAGTCTCCAGTAAAATGAGAAAATGCATTTATAAATAGAGGACATTCCTCAATAGTTCTATGCTTCTGTGGAACTTTCTTCACAGACTTGAGCTTTTTTAAGTACCATTTAGTTTTCAATTAGTAGTTACCACTTAAAGTTACTGGTTTTTTGAAAATAGAATGGAAACAGTTCTTTTTGGCTAGGACCTCAGAACAAGCATCAATGCACACTAGCAGCTAATCACTAGAGCGAAAAACTTAACCAATCCCATTTCACATTCAAATCTCGTGTGTCCAGGGACACCTGGGTGGCTCAGTCTGTTAAGGATCTGACTTTAACTCAGGTCTGTGGGTTTACACTCTGCATCAGGCTCTATGCTGACAGCTCAGAGCCTGGAGCCTGCTTCAGGTTCTGTGTCTCCCTCTCTCTCTGCCCCTCCCCCACTTGCACTGTCTCTCTCAGAGAGACAAACATTAAAAAATAATAATAATAAAATAAATCTCATGTGTCCGGAGACATTAAGAAGTTGCTTTATCAGGGGCACCTGGGTGGCCCAGTCGGTTAAGCAGCTGTCTCTCAAAGAAAACAAACATCTAAAAAAAAAAAGCAACCTATAAACTGTTGGTTAACTTATGCCCACAGTCAGACTGCTATTGCAAGTATTAATTGTAATAGGAAAATACTAATGTATAAATTAAATGATTATCAAAAGTTTCAAAATATGAAAAAGTAGAATTGTGTAGGAACTCTCCAGAAGCTACCAGAACTCTCCAGAAGCTTCAGTATTATCAACCAACGGCCTGTTTCATTTCATCTATTTTATCTGTACACATATGCAATTCCTTCCCTCCTCCCCTGGATTATTTTGAATTTTTTCAGTGTTTTGTTCATATTTCATGACTTAGACTTTTTTTTTTAAATGTTTTATTTATTTCTTGGAGAGAGAGAGAGAGAGAGAGAAACAGCGTGAACAGGGGAGGGTCACAGAGAGAGGGAGTCACAGACTCCGAAACAGGCTCCAGGCTCTGAGCTGGCAGTCAGCACAAAGCCTGATGTGGGGCTCGAACCCACGAACCGCGAGATCATGACCTAAGTGAAAGTCGGACACTTAACTGACTAAGCCACCCAGGTGCCCCTTATGACTTAGACATTTTATGACTAATTGCAATAAAGCTAGTTGCTTATAAGAGTCAAGACCATGATTTGGGTACTATTTGGCATTGTTCTCACATTGGGGACATAGATGGAGGAGGTGAACAACTCTGAAACAAGGACATTGGAAGCACTGTTTTTAATACCCTTGGGTATTTGTAAAATACCCTTCTATACCTTGACATAAATTCTAGGTATCTGTAAAACACTCTGAAATAAATTCTAATATACCAGGATTCTGATTCAGTAACCCAGTTCTGTCTTGCCCAAAAATTGAGCAACATTTTTAAAGTTTATTTTTATTTATTTTGAGAGTGAGATATAGAGCAAGTAGGGGAGGAGCAGAGAGAAAGGGAGAGAGAATCCCAAGCAGGCTCCACACTGTCAGTGAAGGGCCCACACGAGGCTCAATACCACAAACCATGAGATCATGACCTGAGATGAAATCAAGAGTCAGACGCTTAACCAACTGAGCCACCCAGGCACCCCTCATGGTTGCTTTTTATGCCTCATAAAGGACAAAACAAGTGCACACATCTAAAGCTCTCAAACTATCCTCTCTTAAACAACTCCTACCATAGAAATGAAGTGAAATAATATACTCTTAATGCTGGGAGGGCAAATGCCCTCAGATCCGGGTCATTTCCTCCTCCCACTGCAAATAACAAACCTTTCCCAGTAGAGTTCAGCTGTAATATGTCAGTTGAGTCATCCTGTTTCTATATGCTGAGGGAATTTTCCAATTGCCGTTAACTGTTTTACAATCTGCTATTAAACCTTAAACACTCCAGCTCATGCTGGGTGGGTTTAATTTACCTTATTTCACCTCTGGAGAGTCAAATTTAATTGCCTGCTATATCTTTGGGAAAGGTGAGAAAGTAGATATTGTAGTTTCACTATACTATTCTCTAGAATTATGCCATGGAGTTACATGCTTATGCACAGGATTGATTCCTTGGGAAATAAACTTTTTTTTTTTTTTTTTTTTTTTTTATTTCTAGGAGAGAGAGAGAGAGACAGCGTGAGCAGGGGAAGGTCAGAGAGAGAGGGAGACACAGACTCTGAAAAAGGCTCCAGGCTCAGAGCTGGCAGTCAGCACAGAGCACGACGCGGGGCTCGAACCCACGAACCGCGAGATCATGACCCAAGCGAAAGTCGGACGCTTAATCAACTAAGCCACCCAGGCGCCCCGGGAAATAAACTTCTTAAAAGTGGTTCCTAATGAACCTCAACACTCTTAGTAGCAAAGCATAGAATAGCAAAGTTATCAGTGTTAGATTTATCAGATCACCTGGTATCAGTAGTATCCCCAGAAGTACATAGAGTAAAACGAAAAATGTCAACTTTCCAATTCCTCCCCAACTCCCCAGAGGTACTGGTTAAAGTCCACTGTGAATACTTTCCATATGTATTTACACCCTTATAAATATGTATATACATATATCATTTTGGTAGATCTTACAGATCACCTCTTACATGTTCTGCAATTTGTCTTTTCGTAGCATAAAAAGCCTCCAGACCTTTCAATACATAAAAACATGAACACACAATTTTAGCATTCCTGTAGTAGAGATTAGAGATTTTCCAATTTTTTTTAATGTTTACTTATTTTTGAGAAAGAGTACATGCAAGCAGGGGACAGAGAGAGGGGGACAGAGCATCCAAAGTGGCCTCTGTGCTGATTAGCAGCAAGTCTGATGTGGGGCCTGAACTCACGAATGGGGAGATCATGACCTGAGCCAAAGTTGGGAGGCTCAACTGAACCACACAGATGTCCCCCATTGTTTTTTTTTTTAAGTAATCTCTACCCCCAATATGGGAATTGAGCTCATGACCCTGAGATCGAGAGTCACATGCTCAATGGACTGAGCCACCCAGGCATCCCATGGACTTTCTAATTTTTTTGTTAATATTGCAACAAACATCTTTATGCCCCTATTTTTGTGGAGCTAAATACAAAAAAAAACCCCACTAAATCTCTGGGTCTAAAGATATTTACAAAAAGCCTTTGCCAGTTTGAATTCTTTCAACAGCACACAGTACATGTTACTAACTGTATAACATAGTAATTATATATAATATTATCACTGATAGTAAAATAATATATGGATATACTCAACTACATATGGATATACTCAAAAAAATGTCAGGCCCCCAAAATATATCTCATTGTTTTTTATTTCCTAATCCCAAAAAGGCTGCATATATTTTCACATTTATTGGCATTTATATTTCTTATTCCTCAAACTTTTTGTCTTATTGCTTTTAGCAGCTTTTCATGTTACTGAATATTAATCTACTGCTATATCATAGTAAGATTGAGAATTTTGTAGGTTATTTGCTTCTCTTTCTTCTAGGTGGCTCCAAAGCCAGATTCATAAGGTTCTATTTTTATGTATTTTTAAGAATTTTTTAATGTTTATTTATTTTTGAGAGAGAGACAGACCACTAGTGGGGTAGGAGCAGAGACACAGGAGGAGACACAGAATCGGAAGCAGGATCCAGGCTCTGAGCTGTCAGCACAGTGTCTGACACTGGGCTCGAACTCACGAACCGTGAGAACCTGACCTGAGCTGAAACCAGACAATTAACCGACTGAACCACCCAGGTGCCCTACATATTTTTCTATTTAAATACTTATCTATTTTTCAGACTATCAGCTAAAGAGTTAATACAATTACAAACCGTAAAAAACAGATCTAAAATCCTAAGACAGCAATGGAAAATAACACCCAGGAGCACCTGGGTGGCTCCCTCACCTAAGCTTTCTACTCCTGATTTAGGCTCAGGTCATGATCTCATGGTTCATGGGATCAAACCCTGCATCGGGCTCCATGCTAACACCACAGAGCCTGCTTGGGATTCTCTCTTTTCCTCTCTAATCCTCCCCTGCCCTCTCTCTTAAAATAAATAAAATTTTTAAAACAATAAGAAGAAAAGAACATCCAATGACAATATGAAATAATACTTGGTAAGTATTTTCATTTTCTTCAAATGTTTTAACACATTGATATGCTGACAGAGCTGAAGAGTAACAATAAACCCTAGATTTTCTTTTGATAATTTTACTTAAGCTCTTTTATTTTGGAGCTATTTTTGTTGCCACAGGGGTCAAGAACTCACATGAAAACCAAAACTGTCTTCCAAACCATTAAAGATTTAGGGAGGAAAGCATTTCTATGTTAGTATGCATATGTGAATTTTCATTTTGGTTCTTCTTACAGAAGAAAATATTTGGTTTTGTGAGAACCTTTTAAGAAAATATTATATTCTAAGTTATTTTAAAAGAGAGTATTTTACAAATACTTAGGAGTAACAAAAATTCCCAAAATGTAACAAAATGTTAACGTAGGTCTCAAGGTGATAAAAGTCACTTTCAAATGTGTTAGCAATTTTTATAACATATTGCAGAACAGTAAATATTTTAAAAGTGCTTTTAACACAAAATGCTTGGATGATTCAGTTATGAATTTTTAAAGGAAATAATCCAATCATATCCTAGAGTAACCTATAATAGTTCTCACATTAATTTGCAATGGAACTACCATTACATGACCTTTACCTATAAATGGCCTTAAATTGCTTACTTCTTTACTTTACCAAATGCATAGCAAATTTCCTACCAGTAGGTAAAATGTAACAGAAACAAGAAAAAAATTTTAAAAATACAACAGGACTAAGAAAGAGGATATGGTCATGAAATCTGAATAAAAGGCAAAACCCTGACAATCATTAAAAATTGAAGCTTGGGGGCACCTGGGAGGCTCAGTGGATTAAGTGTGACTTCAGCTCAGGTCATGATCTCATGGTTCATGAGTTCGAGCCCCACAGGCCTGCTTCAGATTCTGTGTCTCCCTCTCTCTCTGCCCCTCCTCTCCTCACACTCTATCTCTGTCTCTCTCTCTCAAAAATAAATATAAATAAATACATATTCAGGGCTATAAGCAAAATGGTAAATACATCTCTAAGAGACAAAAGAGTTAAAATAGCCAAGAGAGGCTCTAAAAAGTCTTTGAAATAGGGAAAGCCAAAGGAAAAAGATAATTCCTGTCAGAGTCATATAGTTAATTAACAAACATAAAAAAAAAAAAAGTCACCCTGGAGTGCCTGGCTGGCTCAGTTGGTAGAGCATGGGGCTCTTGATCTTGAATTTGAATCCTAAATTGAGACGTAGAGTTTACTTTAAAAAAACTCACCTTAACTATGTCATCAAATACATGCAAATTAATGGGAACTTTTACCTAAAAACAAAACACAGAAAGTACCATGAAACTTTACTCATACACTGCTAGTCCTACAGCTAATAGCTACAACACTTCTGAAAAGTAATTTGGCAACATGTATCAAAACTGTAGGGATACCTGGGGGGCTGTCCATAGAGAGTGCTTCTTGATCTTGGAGCAGTGAATTCGGGCCCCACATTAAGTGTACAGTTACTTAAAAAAAAAAAAAAAAAACTATAAAAATGTTCTTATCAATGATATGTGATTTATTTTTAAATACTCTAACAGAGCAGGGAAAGCAGGAGGTTAGAAAGGAATAAATCTTCCATACAGAATTCCAAATAATGTAAGTAGATTTAACCCCTCAAAGAGGTAAAGCTTAACTCTCCTTTGACCTTGAATGTCAACCTGACTTAGTGACTTAACTTCTAAAGAGTAGAATATAGAAAGCAAAGGTGACTTTATAGTGGAGAAACCTAGCAAATATTACCTTAACCAAAAGATCAAGGTATATATCATGAATAACAAATCATGTTGATATTATGTACCCTTTATTAAGATGTGAAGAGCAGCTCACATCTGTGGTATTCTACCTCCAAAACATAACACTAAGTCTAATCATGAGAAAAATCATCAAACCCAAACTGTGAGGAATTCTACAAATACCTAACCAATACTCCTCAAAACTGTCAAGGGTATCAAAAACAAGGGAAGAACACAAAACTTATCACAAATCAGAGAAGATAAGGCCTTACAAATGATAAAAAGAAATCGATTACTGACATTTTACTTATCTTAAATTAGCAATACTGGGTAATATGCTATTAATTCCAGTTATCCATTGTTCTCCAGAAACTTTTTGGGATCACCCTCCCTATAATTCTACCAAGAGGCTAATAAATTAATGTTTCCTTGAAGTAGAGTACTGTATATCAGATATTTCTGACCTTCCAAACAAGCTTTCAATCCCTTTACGTTTTATGACTTAAGAGTCTCTGGCCTCTGCTGTCCCTGCTCCATTGAGGCCCCAAGATAAACTGAATGCATGACTTAGGTCTTTTCCTTTCCTTTTAAAATAAATCCCCCAATATCCACATCAAAACATAACGAAATGTCAGCTTATCCTTTATACATCTCAGATCCATTCCTTAAAACAGAGAGGAAGGGAGGGGATGGTGGCGCCTGGCTGGCTCAGTCAGTGGAGCATGTAACCCTTAATCTTGGGGTCATGAGTTCAAGCCCCACATCGGGTTTATTGCTTACTTGCAAAAAAGGAAGAAGAGGAGGAAGGGGGAGGGAAGCAATCAGGTCTAACAATCCAGAATTACAACTTGATTTTTCCTTTATTATTCTCAAAGCTGAATTATAAAAAAAATATGTACCCTTAAACTCTTTTTTTTTTTTTTTTGCCAATCTCTAGTTGTCTCTCTTCTTCAATGAAGGTTAGTTCCCTGCCCTGCTTCCAAGAGCAAAATTACTAAAAATTCATTTCCTTCATAAGAAATGAGTCAGAAATCCAGTATGCTCAATGTGAAATTCTTGTGGTTAAGGAAAAAAGTATGTGGAATTACTACTTGCCCAGAATTTAAACCCAGGGAAGATTTATGCTACATTAAAATGACTGTACTGGTTCTGTTAAGGTGATCAGGTGATGTTTTTTCTTCTTGTTTTCCTAAGTTTCTATACTACATTTTACTGCTTGAATCCAATTATATATCTTGGGGCACCTCGATGGCTCAGTTGGTTAAGTGTCTGACTGTGGGTTCGAGCCTCATATTGGGCTCTGTGCTGACAGCTCAGAGCCTGCTTCAGATTCTGTGTCTCCCTCTCTCTCTGCCCCTCCCCCACTTGTGCTCTGCCTCTGTCTCTCAAAAATAAATAAATGTAAAAAATATTTTAAAAAGTACATATTTACATAAGGGTATGCCAATTTGTATATACATGTAAACATTCACACAGACATTAAACAAATGATTCAACCCAAAATACTAAAGGTTGTTGCCAAAACTCCTACACATTAAATAACTTAAATGTTAATTTTTATCTCTAGAGAATGGTTTGCAAATAATCTAAAACCTTAAGAATTTAGTATTTAAAAGTATTTATATAATCAGTTGCCTCTGGAAAGGGTGGCTACGGGACAGAAGTAGTAATGACACTTCTGAACTATTCAAAAAATATTAACTTTTTAAAAGACTAACCTTACTGGAAGCTTCTTGTTCTTCCCACTACCAGAACCATTAGCTCTAGGAACAAATAAATGCATCTCAATTTTCTCTTGAACTGAATATGCTAAATTTTCTTAACCCTCTATATGAACCTCTGTCATCACTGAATTTGTAGGCTAGACTTTATAATAAAAAGGCTTCGAAACATTATAAGTAAATGTATTACAAAATGAACCAAATTATATCAACAAAAAATGACTAAGTATATAAATGGATACTTCTAAAATCAGCCTTTGCCCTGAATCTGAGATAATCATTCTTTGCAAACTCAGTTTTCCAAAGTTTACCTTTCCCTAAAGTGTACATACACTTATCACGATGAGCACTGAGTAATATACAGAATTACTGAGTCACTGTACTGTACACCTAAAACTAATAGAACAATGTATGTTTACTATACTGGAATTAAAACAAAAAACTTAATAAGTTTCCTTGCTCCTATTCATTCTCTGGTAGAAGCTTTAACAAGAAATCAAAATGCTAAAACAATGTATAAATACCACAAAACTATCAATATTGATATAATGTTTTGTCAAATTGAGTTTAAAATAACGGCAGGGGCACCTAGGTGACTCAGTCAGTTAAGCATCCAACTTCTGATTTGGGCTCAGATCATGATGTCATGGTTCCTGAGTTTGAGCCCCAAGTCGGGTTCTGCACTGACAGCATGGAGCCTGCTTGGGATTCTCTCTCTCCCTCCCTCTCTGTCCCTACCCTGCTCATGTTCTCTCCCTCCCTCTCTCTCAAAATAAATAAACTTTAATAAAAAATATTTTCAAAAATACACAGGGGTGCCTGGGTGGCTCAGTCAGTTGAGCATCCAACTTCAGCTCAGGTCATGATCTCACTGCTCCTGAGTTCGACCCCCAGGTTGGGCTCTGCGCTGACAGCTAAGAGCCTGGAGCCTGTTTCAGATTCTATGTCTCCCTCTCTGTCTCTGCCCCTCCCTGGCTCATGCTCTGTCTTTCTCTCTCAAAACTAAATAAACATTAAAAAAAATTTTTTTTAAATACACATAAAAAAGAAAAAAAGGAAAAAGACATGGACTGGACTAGTTTTGTTTTCCCAAGGCAAATCCAAAATCAAAAACACCTTGGATGCATACCACAGATGGGACAGCAAGGAGAAAAACGAAGGTGGAGGAAGGAGTGGGATAAAGATAATACAACAACTTAATAAGTAAGAAATAAATTCTTTTTAATAGAATTTTCTGAACATACCAACCACAAAATGTATTTATCTATACATCAAAGCTTAAATCACATATGAATGAAGGAATCAATATTTTAATAAATGGTCCTAGGAAAACCTGCTAACAATTAAGAAGGAAAAAACCCAGTAGTTATTCTAGAAGGCAATTTAGGTGAATATTTTATTTGACCACTGTGGAAGAGCTACCACATACAATGGAAAATACCAACAAATTTACAAAATAATACTGTAAACATTAAAAAAAAATCCCAAATAAAATAAAAAGAGCAAAAGAATTGGGAGGAAACCACATTCAACTAAGGCATTTGAGATTACAAAATTATCAATTTTCACGGCACTATGAATCCAAAAGTTAAAAAGTGTTCACGGCCTCTGAACAACTCCGTTTCTATTTTAAAAAATCTGAAATACAAACATTTATGTACAAAGATGGTTTTTGTAAGAGTGAAAAACTGGAACAATCTAAATGTCTGGGTAAAAGGGACTGTTTAAATTATGATACATTCTATGAAGTATTATGCAGTATCATTTTCTTTCATAAGGACATGAGGAAATAATCAGAACATAATATTAAAGTATATCAAATAGGATATAAAAATAAGCATAGCACATACACATGGTTAAAAAAAGCACTAAAACACAAACAAAAATTTGAAAGCATGCATACCAAAAACTTAAACCTTGGGTATCTCTGGGTGATTTTTTAATGTTTTTATTTATTTATAGAAGAAAGAGAGAGAGAGACAGCGTGAGCAGGGGAGGGTCAGAGAGAGAGGGAGTCACAGACTGAAACAGGCTCCAGGCTCTGAGCTGGCAGTCAGCACAGAGCCGGACGCGGGGCTCGAACCCACGAACCGCGAGATCATGACCTAAGTGAAAGTCGGACGCTTAACCGACTAAGCCACCCAGGCGCCCCTATACATTTTATATTTTTAACTTTTTAAAAAAGTTTATTCATTTATTTTTGAGAGAGAGACAAAGAGAGAGAAAAAGAGCAAGCACAATTGGGGGAGGGGCACAGAAAGAGAGGGAAACACAGAATCCAAAACAGGCTCCAGGCTCTGAGCTGTCTGAGCCACCTAGATGCCTCTATACAATTTAGTTTTGAAGTATCATATAATGATCATACATTAACTCGTATAATAAGGAAAAATTTTTTGGATGTTGCAGCTAAATCCAGGAAAACTAACAAATTTATCAGTAAATAAACGGCAAAAAGTAAATAAATAAAACATTAAAATATGGCAGGGATATGGTTAAGAGATTAAGGCAGCATCAATCAAATGCAATGTACAGACCTTGTTTGACTCCTGATTCAAACAAATGTTATAAAAGGACATTTATGCAAGAACAAGGGACTTTGAATACTGATTGGATCAAATAACATTTAGGAATTACTAACTTTTTTTTACCATAGCTACAATGTCAATTATCACATCCAAAAAGAGTCCTTATCTCTGAGAGATACCACTAGATATTTTCAGTTACTGAGATACAATGCCTGGAAACTAGTTGAAAATAATCCTGGCAAGGGGGAAGTATAGACAAAATAAAACAGCCATGAGTTAAATAATTGTT